CCTTTAAATAAATACGAATGAATTTATATATTTAAGCAGGTCTTTAAAAACTTTACGAATACCTTTAAATTATACAAAATGAACTTGATTAGTCTTCTAAGTTATTTAGAAAACTAAGAGCAGCCTTAGTTTTTTAAAGGCAACAGACCAATATCTTGCCTTAATATGCAATAGTGGATAAATTCCTATAAAAACAAACATCACACCACGTAGGATACTTACCTGATAACCTAATAATTAAAAAAAGATACATTGTTTTATATAACTACAAAAAAGCAATCTATTTAGGTGAAACTCTATGAATTGTATACTGGTTCACACTTTTATAGTCAAGTCTATGCTCCTGTACGGAATACTAAAATGGTAACAACAGCATCCAAGCGGAGATTAGGAAGTATTCCGCTATTGTATGAAAAATAATCTGGCCTATCTGCTATTTTGTGTGTACAAGAGATTGACCATTCCTCTACGAAACTCAACTTCGTCAAGAACTTTAAATGCGAATCCTCTCGAGATGTAAGTAGAAAACACGCTAGTCCTGGAGCAAAGAACAATTTAACTTCTCTGCAGACTATCTGTAAATTGATAAAGAAGACGAACCTAATAAGAATGATCAAGCGATATTGCATTTTCAAACCATAAGAAAATGCATGAATGATGAATTAACCAGACTGAATACTAATCTTGTCTATTTTGCATACCTACAATAGTTGTACACGAGACATCGATTATTTTTTTCCGAAACTCAACTTCTCATGCCGAGTAGAAGAGAAAATGTATGGCCGATAACAAACTTACCTTCTCCTAAGCACGGATAGCAGCAATATTTAAATACTAGTTGTTAATTGTATGCAATTTCTGAACAGTAGATTAATAGGTTCTATACAAACGAAGGCAATTACTTAATGTCTATGGTAAAAACAAATCAATAGAGAACATCTCTAAGACCATGGTCATGTATAACCGACTACTGTATATTTTCCAAGGATGTTGTCAGGTTAGGAATCTCCACTCGTAGGTATTATAGAAGTGATAGCTATGAGACAGAAGAAAAACAGTGGATCATTTTTTCTATAACTGCATTTACTTATAGTTATTTCATTTCAGAACATTTCAGAGTAATGCTATATGTGTACATGTGAAAGGTACTTTCCAATATCTTTATCTAAAAAAAATAAATTTTCTCCTTACTAACAATAATGTATAGAACGTAATAGAGAAAATTTTTATATTTTATTTTTAGGTTTCTTTTTTTATATTAGCTAAATGTTTATATATTAATAAATATTTACAGGGAGACAAGTTTGCAGAGGAGCAAAGAGTGAGGGCCGCCAGGGATTTCGTTGTGGGCGAAATAGGAATAATCAAATGTGGTACTTTAACACTCGTTCCCGAAACTGTACGAAGTTGAAATTCAAGGGCTGTGGAGGAAATAGTAATCGTTTTTGCAGCAAAATATCCTGTGAACGAAAATGCAAACCGATCAGAACTTAAAACGCATTTATTACCTATATCTATATAATTTACATATAACAAAATCTAATATATTTTTAATAATTAATAATACACAAATTTATATAGTAAAGTATACTTATTGTTGTGTATCTTAATTACGTATTTCGCTATTAAAATATTAACATGAATAATGAAATAAAATAATTATCTATAAATAATATATATTTAGTATATTTTGAATTTTGTGTTATTATTGCTGTCTTATTTTTATAATTGGACTAGAAAATAATATTGGTTCAATTATTTATATTGTTTACTTTTTATAACTTATAGCCAAACCTTTTGATCCAATAGTTGACTAACTAATTGGATTCACTTGAAGATTACTTGAAATTCTTTTCATTCTTACCAAAATCATATTGTAAAATCTTATAATCAAACCTCACAGGACCTCACAGACACACATTCTTCTTTAAGAGAAATTTGAAGCGGCCTTCCAGAAAGAACCGTTTTTGCGCCATTGTTATACTTAATATTCTCGAGCAATTTACAACCACCCAATCTTAAAGATGGCGTCATTATTAATCTACCAAAGAGTGGTAACCTGATGGAATGCTCCAACTGGAGAGGCGTAACTTTACTATATATAGCTTATAGAGTTATTGCTCAAATCTTACATAAACGTATAACTTCGGCCGTTGAGCCTAGACTGCGAGTCGAGCAAGTTGGATTTAGGCGTAATCAATCATGTGCTGACCACATATAAAGCCTTCGAATCATCGTCGAACAGTCTAGCGAATGGCGATCCCTTCTATATCTGTTGCTTATCGACTTTTAACGTGCATTCGATACAGTTCTCCATACCGCCATCTGGTCTGCATTAGACTGTAAACGCATACCGAGCACGCTGTCTACGACGCATCCTTCATGTATTCTGGCCAGCAACCATAACCAATAATGAGCTCTGTTTTAGAACGAATCAACCTCTTATAACTGATGAAATAATAATGCGCAAATACAGATGGCACTAAAACCAAAAGCAAAGATTTGATTTGAAGTACCATAATCTATATTCTGGTTATGAGATGGCAATCATCTCAATCTCACTAAAAAATTCCAGTCTTCTATTAACAAGTTCTCAAACCCTTATTGTACAACAGTGTACAACTATAAGGATGCACTTGTCAGACCAGGAAAATAATACGCCACGGTTTTTAAATAAATTACTTAGAGATGTGGTTAAAGCTTCTTGATAGGTTCAAAACACCGATTTACACAGTGTCTCATTATTCTAAGACCCAAGTAAGAAGTAAAAAAACCTTGTATCCCACATTTTTTTTGGGTGATCTATAAGAATGGTATTGAAACTTCCACAAACCTCAAGTTACCTTCTTTTTTGACGCAATACTGATTTTCGAGGCATGCCCATTTGACAACAATTTTTAGTAGTCCATTATTTTGAACATCATGAATTGATGTACATCTATATATCATCTATATGTAAAAATCTATCTCTGTAGATATTGATGCATTTTTCGTATAGCAAAAATGATTTAAGCTAAGAAGTTAGTTAAGAAGAAGAAGTTATTTGTCAGACAAAAATTCGGTAGTTCTAATGCCCAATGATCTCATGCATTAATGCACATACTAATTTAAACCCTCTTGATCTATCCCTTTGACCCATGAAAGTAGCTAGGTTTCTCCGCATTGACTCAGAAGAAACTCATCTACACTTTATATCTAACCACCCTTCCTATTCCCACTCTCACTGTATTAAATCCTTATTCATGCGCTTCTTTCATGTTTTCTGCTATAGGGACCTACATGGATTACAATAACAACAACAGTAAATACTATATAATATATGTTATATTATTGCAATAATTAATTAAATATTATAAAAAGCTTTTCAAAACATATTTATTTAAAATCATTGTGCATATGGACGAAAGTATTTCATTTGAGACGAAGACTGTTTCTAGACAAATTCATTAAAGTTGTTCTTTTTTAAATCATGTTATTTAATAGTATAATTTTTATGATATATGTTTATAAATACTTTAACTTAATTATTATTTATTTGAAACTAAATTATAACATAAATATTTTTTCATTACAGTTTTGTGACTGAATCTGTAGAACATATATCACAACTAATAAGTAGTAATTATTATTAAAATTCATTTCATGCCTTCATACTTTATCATTGACTCTATCATTCTGTACAATATCATTATTACATAAAAGAATTTTACATCCCACTATTTTACATCAGATTTAGAAATAGTACGAGAGCAGCTTTTTAAGTCTTAGACCCAACAATGAAACTACAATGGTTAAATAATGAAAATAGTTTAATTGTCTTTCAAATATTCTTCATGATGATCAATACATTTTTGCATCCGATTGGATCAATTTTTAGAAACAGTTTTGCCACTCTGAAGTTAGTATCTTCTGTTGATTATCAATGTCTCAACGGCCTGTTCGGGCATCGAGAAATGTTCGAAATACATGTTCCCTTATTGTTTAGTAACAAGAAGAAGTCATTTGGTGCGACGATTTAAGTGCTCAAAAACTCTTTTCTTTGAGCTGATGTGCGGGAGCTCGCGTTGTCATGGAGAAGGATAATCTTTTTCCGGTAGTTAGTTTTTCTCAATACTCCGAAGACTTCCTGCAAACAAATGGTTGTGTGCCGTTGAGAGTTGACCGTTCTATGTTGTTCAAGTGTTACAGTTGCGACATGACCATTTTTTCTCAAACAATATAAGACCATTTGCTTAGATTTACTCCGTCCCCACTTGTATCGGATTCTGTTAACTTTGGAAGACCTACACAGTGGATTACTGTTTCGTTTCAGTCTTTTAGGCATAGATCCATGATTCGGTCGTATTTTTTCAGAATTTTCTTGCACCAACGTGCCTACTTTTGAACGATTGTCAAATGATCGGAAATCCAACGGGAACAAGTCTCTTTCTGATAACTAAATGTTTATGTAAAATTGAATGTATGCTGATCCAACTAATGCCCAATGACGCATCCATCTCACTGCATAGATGGTTTCTGGTATAACCGCCATTCTTGGACGACCTTCACGTAACTCGTCGTGGATAAAACAACGACCACTCTAGATCTCATTGAACAACTGTTACTCTGAGCAACTATTACTAGTTACCGCATCTTGATAATGGAATTTTTTATGTAAAATTTTGCAATTTTAATGCACAATATCTCAAAAATGTTACCTCGATAAATAACGAACAATATGTCAAAATTGTAATCGTGCTAAATTTTTTTTCATTTTTAATATATTTTATTGAGTGTAACCTATTAATCTCAATTCGTATTTAAACTTCCATAGAACAACTGTGCAGTTGTTAATTAATTTTTAATAAAATGTTTAATTGTTTTTAACAATGGAATGAGTCCACAGTTGTTTAAATTAATTTAAATAAAATCCGATAAATTGCTTTTATTAAAAATCATTTAAAATTCCTATATATAAGAACTGGTATCAGTACTGTAATTATTGAAGTACTAGAGTTTCGTGCTAATAAAAATGAAATATTTTTCAACACTAGTTTTGATTGTTATTGTAGCTGCCGGATATGTAGAAGCACAGACATGTGCTGGACGTCCAAGTAAATAAATTTCAAAAACAAATTATAAATTTAATATAATTAAATTATGTTTAGATCGCTTTGGTTGTGGTGGTGGTAGAGACGAGGGTTTTAGTGGATTAAGCTGTTGGCTTACAGGATCAGGTGATAGATTTTACTACGATCAAAACACCAATCGCTGTCGTGGTTTTTGGTACAAAGGATGTGGAGGAAATAACAACCGTCACTGTACAATGGCACAATGTCACAGAAATTGTGTGCGATAAATATCAACAATTTTAACAGAATAAAACTCACAGTAATTCACCATTAAAAATGTTGAAATGAATTAAATTAAAAAATAAAAACACGAAAAATAAAAAAAAATGTGCTTAATATTTAACGATATATACTAAATTAAATAAAAATCTAACTAAATAAAATTTTAACAAAACAATCAACAATATCGCTAAAACGGTTATGCATGTTTACTTTTACGCCAATTTTTATTTTATTAATCTCTTATCTTCTATTATCGAACCTCATTAATTGCGTATTCCCGAATGAACCTATATGTCTTTTGAATTATTGTTTCTTTGAATACATGATAAATTCCTAACACTTCGTTCAATAATGTGTGTGACTAACTAATTAAAACACATTTTTTTTCCAAAATTCGTTTTTATTCATCAACATAGTCCCCTTTTAGGGAGATACAATCATTCCAACGCTTTTGCAATCTTTCGATACCGCCTTTGTAAAACGATTTTTCTTTGCCTTCAAAATAGGCGTTAGTTTCGGCGATTACTTCATCATTTGAGCCAAATCTTTTACCAGCATCTTTTTGAGGTCTGCGAAGAGCCAGTAGTCGCTAGGGGCCAGATCTTTAGAATACGATAGGTGCGGCAGCAATTTGTAGCTCAATTCGTTCAATTTTGCCATCGTTTTCATTGACTTGTGCATCGACACGGTGCATTGTCTTGGTGGAACAAAACTGTTTTCTTCGCCATATGAGGCCGTTTCTTTGCGATTTCGTCTTTCAAACGCTCCAATAACGCTATATAATAGTCGCTGTTGATGGTCTTCCCCTTCTGGAGATAGTCAACGAATATTATTCCATGCGCATCCCAAAATACAGACGCCATAACCTTGCCAGCCAACTGCTGCGTCTTTGGTCGCTTTGGGCGGCTTTCACCGGCTGCATGCCACTCAGCAGACTGCTGATTTGACTCTGGAGTGAAATGGTGGATCCATGTTTCATCCATCGTGATGTACCGACGCAAAAACTCCGACTTATTGCGCGTAAACATGTCCAAACAGCTCTTTGAATCATCGATTCGTTGTTGTTTTTGCTCCGGTGTGAGCAAACACGGCACCAATTTGGAAAACATTATGGTGTGTACACTGCCTGCTGATATCTGTAGAATGTCAGCAATCTCCCTCACTTTCACTTTACGGTCGGACATAATGATTTTCAGTGTTTTTTTCAACGTTTTCCGGAATAACAGCGTCATTTGGCCGTCCAGTAGATGGAATGTCATCGGTGTCTGTACGACCACGTTTGAATTCGGCATACCAATAACAAATGCTTCTTTTTGATGGAGCAGAGTCCGAATAATGTTTTTCAATCCATTCCTGGCATTGAACAGTATTTTTTTTCATTAAAAAACAATGATAAATCAGCACACGGAATTACTTTCAATTCATTTTTTTTTTTTAAACTCAAAAGTAGCGTCACTTAAAGCACTGTAACTTGTAAACAAATGGTCGGATTAACATATGATTTTGACAGTAAGCCTAAAAAGGTTGCCACTTTCGAAAAAAAATATTTATTTAGTATTAGTGCCGCCATTTATGTTTCAGTCACACACATTATTGAACGAAGTGTTATAATCTTCAGCAGATAATTTTCAAATTTGGTACATTTATCTACTGCTACTTCAAAAAATAAATTGTTATTTAAGCAAAAATAACATCTTTATTATTATATTATTTTTATTAAAGTTCACAAACTTTCTTATTTATTTGTTATCAACAGGAGTAATTTAATTGAATTAATTACTTTAATATATTTGAATTTAACACATTTTTTGCCTTACTCAGTAATGAATCTAATGATAAATATTATCATTATTTGTTTTACAAAATTAGTTAATAATAGAATAATGGATAATAGTTAATAGTAACAATAAATATAAATCTTTTTAGACCTTAAACGTATTAAAATATACATATTTAATAGAAATATTTACATATAAAATATACGTATATCGTAAGCTATACACAATAAGAACATCAAGCTCTGCTCCAAACTCTCTTGTTGGGTTCTTATCTCTTCATTTGGTTACAAAAAAAAAAAACAGAAATTAATTCAAAAATTATTAAAACTTTATTTTATAACTAATTTTTTTATTGGCAACTCTGCTTCTATTTGAACTTATTATTTTCTCATAATATATAATGAAGATCAAAATGTATATTAAATCAAAGATCAAATTGCACATCATAACTTTAAAAGCATCACTTTAAGATCAAATTAATTTATGAAAGCAATAATAATTTAAAAATATATAATAAAATAAAAATATATAAAAAAGATATAAAAAAAATTTAAAAAATATTTCGAAAAAAAAAATTCTTTTAAAAATATTGATTTAATATAACATATATTATCAATATACAAAATATTGATTTAATAAGTAATAACATTGCAAAATTGTTATAAAATATTTTTTAAAAAAATACAATACATACAAATAATGTTATAAATTTATTTTTTTAAACATAATTTTTAAAATATTAAAAAAAAACATAAAAGAGATTTGACTTAAGCACTTTCTAATTCGAGTTTAAAGGCCGCATCTGGTAGTTCTTCTTTGTCCATAGAGTTCATAAAAAGTTCTAAGGCTTTTTTAAAAGACCAATTAGCTTGATTTAAAAATCTAAAAATAAAAAAATAATAATTAGGTAAAATTTTTTATTTATATAATAAAATAAGAAAAGAGATATTAAGAAACCATAACAAGAATATAAGTTGGAAGAAATGTATTTGCATTTAAAATAATATCAAGCTATAAGAACATATTACAAGAAACGATCCAGTACTACTTATTTAGAGAATATGAATTTCTAAAAATAGTAAGTGCTTTCTACGTGAATATCTAAGGGAGTGGGATGTGAGTGTTCACGAAAGAGACCAGTAATTTTATATGGTTAAGTGAAAACTATCTAGATGACTCTATGTAGATGAATTTATTTTGTATTCTATGATTAAAAGAAAACGTGCATTTAACATAACTTTTTCTATACATTTCTCTATACATTAGTTCATTCTCGAATTTCTATAAATGCTAATATAACATCTAATAAAACACTTGTTCAGAAATTTAATTATAGATGCACGATTTCATAGCGCAACCGTAAAACTATGTTTCCGGTCAAATATTTCTATTAAAATTCAAATATGCGTCTACAATGCTACGTCACCGCAAAACCATATCTCTTCTCTATTGTTAGTACACTGGACCCGGTGCATACAAATAGTAGATTTCCATAACTATCACGCAACGTGAAAGATATTAAAATTAATAAGCAATATTGAATCATCAAATCGTAGATACATAGCACAATTATACTTCAAACAGATATTAAAGTTAAGAATAAATCGATCATATAATCAAAATATGACCCGAAAATCTATTCAGAAGAAATCAGCAAAATAGCAAATAATTATAAATAATATTGTTTTATACTGTATTTTATGTTTTAAATGTAAGTGTACATACCGAGATGCCCATACATTCTTTAATTTAGTTACTTCCTTAAACATTTCCAAGCAACATACTTTCTCGACTTCCGTTATAGTTTCATCCTCCTGCACATCAATCTTTTCATATTTAAATGCAACTTGAGTCTGTTGCTTCGTCGGATTACAAATATGCAACTGATCGTTCAATATCATATATTTCTCTGCCCCTTTCAAGAAACCCTTAAAATTAAATGTTTTAAGTAATTTATTATATTTTTATTATTTGTATATATTTTTTCTTTTACCGCACAGCGATCGACACAAATAAGTGTAAATACACGCGAGAATGCCATATTTATGACACTACTCGTCAATAAATCAGATTTATCCGAAAATACTCCATTAATTGTTATTATAGTATATCCCTGAATTAAAAAAAAGATATCTGTAGCTCGTTTATGTAACTTTCTCACTTCGTTTTCTCGAACGATTTTCTCACTTATGACAATTACTCACTAGAAGTGTTTATGTAACTGTGGTGAATTGTTTTCTCACTTTTTTTCGTTCGAGTTTTTGTCACCTGTCAAATTGCTTGCGAGAAGTTTTGAATTTTGAATGAAAAAAAGTGAGTTAAAGTGAATAAATTTAAATTTTTGGTACAAGTGCTATTTGCAAGCACTAAGCAACCTTTTAAAATTGTTTTATTTTCGTTCAATTTTTTCAAAAAACGTTCCATTTTTTCAAAAAACGTTCCATTTTCATCAGTTTCTCTCATCACACCATAACGTTCTCGTGTGGTGAATTTTTCATGTTACATAAACAGCAAACTCGAAAGAAGTGAGAAAAAGCAAGTGAGAACTTTTCGAAAGAAATCGTTCGAGTTAAACTCGAACGATTTACATAAACGAGCTACTGTAGATATAATATTTATATATAATTTTAATATATGTTAATACATAAAACTGTGTTGTATCCGTATGAAAAGTTAACATATCATGCGTTGTCTTCGGAAGTGACATGAACGCTCGCATAATATCATCAGGACCGTAATGTAAACTGTTGTAGCTTCTGTCAAACGACTTCATTTTTAAGATATTTCGTGAATACTCTTCATATACAGTTAAACGTTTTAATGCATCCACAGAAGGTACAGTAACTTTAAAATCGAAAGTTAAACTAAATAAAGATTTTGGATGATAGAGTCCTGCAGGAAATTAATTTTTTTTAATGATTATATTTATTTAGAATGTTGATTGCAATTACCTCCTAATTCTACACGATTAGATGAATCATACTTTTGAAAGAAAACTGGCACAAACGTATTAACGATATGATATGCATCTAAATCAGTCAAAGAATTTTTTAAAGTAGATAATGTACTTCGTTTTGACAGTTTAACTCCATCCTTATAAAAAATTATACAATTTTAATAATTTTGATATTCGCACACAATTTAAAAATATATTTACCAAAGTTTCAAGTTCTGGAAAGTATTTTAACATTAAACTTCTATATTCTTTCGCTTCAGTAAACTTGGAACAAAATGGATTTCCATCAAGTACTAAGGATTTTAAGCCCAGCTTCTTTAGGTCATTGAAGTCGTTAATTTCCTCTATTGAATTAAAACCTAAATCTATAGCTCTTAGTGTTCCAATGAAAGCTAAGGCCTTATGGCAATTAGCATTAATAATTTTATTCTGACTTAAGTTGATTTCAATACAACGTCCAACAAACTTTCGTGAAGCTTTACTCAATATAGTTTTAAGTACCTTAAGCTGACTCATATTTATCACCACACTTGCAAAGTCTGCAATTTTTTAATGTATATTTTTATAACGATTTTAGTAATATTTAAAATTACCAGTTGAATCCTGAAAATTTGCTAAGTTAAGAATTCGTTTAATGCCATTATAACGCGCTTCAAGTGCTTTTTCAATAGCAATTTCTGGTTCCAACTGACCCTTCACAAATTGCGACACATTCATACGAAAATAGTAATTAATTGATATAACATGTTCCGTTGCTACAAAATCGTTGCTCGAGGATGGCGCTTCTTTATGTACAAATTTTATTTCCATATTGCACTTATGTACCAAATATTCAATTTGATCGAAACAGTTTCGCACCATGAATTTGTGCTCTGCATTTTCAAACTATTATAAAATAAAATACATTATTCACTAATATATATATTTGATAGTAATTAATTCTAAACCAAACAAATAAAATTAACGCTCCTTAGATAGGCAAAAAGTCTAACACTCATATACCAAATAATGCTAATCTAGATCGATCGAACTTAACTTGTAAGACTTTAAAGTAGTTAAAAAGTTTTGTTTTAAAATATTTTGCTAATATAATTTCAGCAAAGCAAACGATATACAAGTTTGCCAAGAGGTTCCAAGAACGGTCGGGTCTGCGTCCCGGAGCCACTCGTCATCAACGACGACCAAGAACGGTTCAACATCCCCCAATGGGACTCCACAAGCAGGTTCTGGCGAGTTACAACAACAACATATACAAATTTGAATAACGTTAAAGTGACTTTTTTAAATATATAAATATAACACTATTTAGAATATAATGCAAAGTATGTCCGAATGTAAATAGTAATTAAAGATGGGAGTTTGTAATGAAGTCAACAATTGGCAATTCAGTAAGGTCAACTAATATTTAATGTTTAGGTATTAAAAGAAGAACATACCCGACAATCTAAAACACTAATTAAACATCCTTTTATAAATAGAATACATAGTATTTGCCAAATAAATCTTTTTCATTTTTGTTAAATGTCCTCTTTACTTGGGTCAGCGTATTGTGATTTTAGTTCATTAAGAATGTAGTGGATTATATATTACCTTATAATAGCATGGATAAACTTCTGTCTTTTTTTGGTCAAGTGTAGCAAAAAATCCTTCAAATATTTCATCTTTTGAATATTGCTTCTCTGAGTCTGGCACCTACAATATTAAACAAATTGAATAAGTTGTATTTTATATATATATATATATACATATATTACTACATTCAACAGATGTTGGCTATTATTTGTTACTCTAATTAAAAATAGTTATTAAAAGTGAAATATATTTTCTTACCACAACAACATGCCAATGATCACTATCGGAGAATTTCTTAACGTCTGATTTATTTGTCCAATCAATCCGATATCCATCCACTGTTGAATCAACTTCATACTGCATAGGAGTATAATCAGATGTAAGCTTTTCTATATTTCTGCCATCCTTAATAAAAATTTAAATTTTTTATGAATAAACATTAAATATTGTTGAGATAGAATATGTGATCAACTTACAATTAATTTAAAATTGGAAAGAATATCTTTAAGACATGTTGGATATGTGTTTAAGGTCGTTATCTTATTTCCACCTAAAAGTATCTCATCAGCTTTTATATTTTTTAAATCTGCACATAGACGCGTTGCCGAGCTTATCTGTATAAATAAATGTAAGATTTCATAAAAATTAAATTTTTTTTAGAATATTTTATTATTCAATAATATTCTATAAAAAGTATAAGTGTGATACTTAATTCATGACTTCAACTCAACAATTCATTATTTATAAAATTATTATTTCAGCTTATGAGTGTAATTAAAATAAAACCAAAGTGGTAACCAAATGCTTTTGGTACGAAACCAAGAAGAATAGTTTAAATAAAAACATAATCCAAAAAAATTATAATTTCATAAATAAATAAATAAATGTAGAATTCAGAACATATCAATAAAAACATATTATATTGTATCAATCCGTGCAAGTATAAAGAGTGATCCTATCAAATGAAATATATTTGTTTTGCATTTAATAAGTCACTACAAATTTATGTTGATGATCAAAACACAAAATTAAAGCTATAGTCCCCCATTATGTATTGTTTATTTACATCTCACATATCCCTAAATGAAGATGTTGCTATTAGAACTTTTATAATCAATTAATATGAATATCAGAGGAATTTTAAATTCAATAATAAAACTACAACAGCAGAATGCGACGTTGGAGCAGTTCTATGACGCTATTACAACTATATAATTAAATTATTTTTGTAACACATAAATAGAGCTGATTATCGTAATTGATAAAATTAGAGTTTCATATCTGAACGTAGTTTAAGTTAATAATACAAATTGTTAAAAATAAAACCAACCTTATTATTTCTTAAATCTAAACGTGTGAGCAACGTATCTTTAAAAATATCTAAAGGCGTCAAAACAGAAATACCATTGTTCGCCAAATTGATGCCATTAACATGTCGAAAATTATTGCTTTTAAAAACAGTTTTACATATACAGTCAAGCACTCCACTATTTCCGAGATTAATATAAACCTTATTGAATTCCTTGTTTTTTCTAAATTCTGAAAGGTTTACTACTCCGTCAGATGCAAAATTTAATTCTCCCAACAAACGAATCACAGCCTCTGGTATTTGACTTTGTGCAGAAATCTGACCAAATTCATAATCTGCTATTCCAAGTATCACTGACAAATTGTAACTAACTCCATTTTTTATATATATTTGTAAATTGTGATCAAATAGTTTATCCAGAGCTGGTTTACATTTCCGTACCAAAAAACTATCATTCGACGAACCACACTAAAAACAAATAGAATAAAGTAATATTTATATTATAGATAAACAATATAATACAAACGTACCTTGTAGGATATTGGAAAAAACTCTTCGCAATCAACAACTTTAAATATAGCATCTAGTATCTCTTCTTGCCTTTGCGATGAATGGCGTACATTTGCGCGATGAGAGATTATTATCTGATGCCATAAGTTCTCTTGCATCGCCAAGGCTGTATTATAAGTTTTGCAATTTGTAAATTTTACACCTTTGCTAAAGCATAGTTTTATGTCTTTATGATTTTCGAAATGTATGATCTCATCGTAAATCATCTCGGCGAATTTATTGTTCTAACTGCACTATAAAAGATGAATGGAATAGCCTGGGTTTTAATAAGATTTGTTATAATTGGTTTGAAGGGGTGTTAGGGTAGCCGTCGGCTGTGGATCGAGCGACTCTACGACAGACGTACACACTAGCGTTTCTGAAACTAATAAACATAGATTGTAATTAAATTTACGTGTAATTAGTGTAAATTATATATATATATATCTGTTCCTGTATCTGCAGTTTAATTAAAATTTTATAAAAATGTATGGTCAATTTTAAAACACACTAACAGTTTGTAATGTTTTATAATTAATAAAATTTTTTTGCTGTTATTTAAAACCATTCCTTTAATTAAATTTTTTTTAAAAAAAATTTACAAAATTTATGTTACCAAATATTGCAAAAGAAGAAGGCATATACATATTAAAATATATATTTACATGTATTTAAAAAGTATCAAATTTCAATCAAAATTTAGCGGGAATACTTCACAGGGAAAAACTTAATATTCGTAACAGTGTTATCAATATTAGGTATATTTGTTAACATTCTGAATGAATAATTGTAAAAATCATACAATAAAAAAATTATATACCACATCTACAAGTTTTAGTTACCTTAAAATATTTGTAATGTATAAATATTTACTTAACCGGCTGAGAAATGCACTCAAATAAACAAATTGCAAACAATTTACGATTGCTGAATGTCAAAAATAACTACCATTCACAATAGCACAGCAACAAATGCTGTCAAGCATAGAATACATTTCAAAGATAAGAATCTCTACTGATGTTGAGTGCAATAAAAAGAAATTACGATGGAAATTTTATTTTTATAACATTTTGGCACACGTATTGAATACATGTGATATCACCACGTTGATATTGAAATAAATATATAATATACGAAAAACTTATCTAAAACAATGTAAAATGTTTATATCTTTTTATCTTTTTTGCAAATCCTCATAAACAAATTTTTTAGTGCTAATTATTATAAAAATAAGCAAGTAATTTAATAAAATACAAAGAATTTATCCGCTGCAACATCTAGCAATGATTCATAACAAATTTTATTTTAACAATAGAAAGACAAGTAAATAACAGGTTTGTTTTCGTACAAACTTGCAGTAAAATTCAATTACAGTAATTAGATTCAATTACTTGAATCTAATTATTACCTATTCTATTCAAAATCACGTAAGGTGAGAACGTATGTGTCTGAATCTACTCTACTGCTATACAAATTATTCTCTTATTCTCCACATTACTAACAACATTTTTAAGTAATTAGTGAGTGCTTCAATTCTCTAATATTTAAAATATAAAATATTTCACAGATATATAAATATCAGCACTTATATAAATAATACTTATATAAATAAAATAAACTATAAATACACAATAGATTGAAAATTAAAAAAAAATATAAAAAATTAAAAATTATTTCTTTATTCAAAGTCAACTAATACTAGGAGTTATATTTACTAGATTTTTTATTTAAAAGCGTTCCCGTACTTTATGGCTATACTGTCTTTTTCAAAGAGCATTTACAATTTTATTTTTATTTATAGTTTTTCTTGAGTTTTAAAAGAAATAACGCAACAAAACAGACTTTAACACTTAAACTCTACCATAGATCTTATTTTAAATCAAAATTAAATAGGTATACACGTTGATTTGATGTTATAACTCTACCATAGATCTTATTTTAAATCAAAATTAAATAGGTATACACGTCGATTTGATGTTATTTTAAACTTATCAAGCAATATTATGAATAACTTAACATAATGTCAAATACTGGATTTATACGAAAGTTTTGTCTGTAATATTAACTGTCTAATTCAAATTTTTGACAGTTAAAATTACAAACAAAACACTCATGTGAATCCAATATTAGGGCACTAGTAATAAAAGTAATAGTAATATGTGGTGAAAAAAAAATAAATATGGCATCTAATAATAAATGATGAGAAAGTTTGAGTTTCGTTTAAGCCAAATTCAACAATTTTTCATGTATTTCTTTTAAAAATAAAACTTGCGAAAAATGTAATAGTTTGTGCATTTTTTTTATTAATTTATTTTAAAAAATTAAATTTCAAATTAAAATATTTAAAGACATCAATTTAAGAATAATTAAAAACATACTAAATAAATTTATAATTTATTTAAACTTGTTTATTTATGGACTTGTTGAAAAATTGAATCATCAGATCAAGGCAATTGCATTCCTGGCAAGGTCTACCACTTAACAAACCAGCATCCATAAATTTAATCATATATACGTAATCTTTAATTTGCATTTAGTAGAGTAAAATCTAGAGTAATTTTCAAATTTTTATTGGCAAACAATTTAAAACATACTTAAACAAACTGTAATTTATAAATAATGTATTCATTAGAATACTTATACTTATGTCTCAGTTAAACCTATATTTACTAAAGTCGAACGTTTTGGAATGCGCTGTGTTTCATTAAAGTACCATATATTTCTATTGATATTTATGTATGTAATATATAGTTATAATAATTTTTTTAATCTTTTAATAATATTAGCATTTGAAACCTGTATCGAAAATATTAAATATTCTAAGTGATTCATTGAGTTATTCTGAAAATGGAAACTGGCAATTATAGACAAGTAAATATTATATTCTGAATTTATAGATAAAACCGCAACGTGAGCGGTGCGTGACTTGTTGTTCAAACTTAAGTCAAAACAAAACAATTAATTTATTTACTATATTCACATAATATATTTTTTTTTTCAATTTTTTAAGTATTGTGTAGATCAGGGCTGTTCAGACCAGATGCGATTGCGGGCCTACATAAATCACTGTACCGATTGGAGGGCCGCAGGAACAAATACAAACGTTCATACTTTTCGACAAAAATAAAAATCAATTTAAATTCATTTATTTGGTGTACCATAAAAATAAAATAATATAGTTTTACCACTACACCAAAAGAGCATTTGCGTAATTATAGTAGACTAAAAAATGTCGAGGGCCGCATAAACATTAGCCGCGGGCAGTACTTTGGACAGCCCTGGTGTAGATAATTATTTAATAATTGTGTAGGCGCACGTGGTAGGATGACGCGCTTGTCTAATTACCCTGAACAAAAAATTATTGCACTTAGCAACAATATGCGAAACAATTCTAATAGTATTAATTTTTGCAATTCATTGCAAAATTTCGTACATTCATAAATTACATTCATAAATTTCGTCATTCAATTTAATATACAAAGTTTAAACTATAAAAGTTGATATCTATTATTCTAACAAAAACGAAAGTGATTATAAAATTTAAAATTTAATCACTAACAAAGTTACTACTTAATGGATAAGATCTGGCGCCGGAGTAATTACAACAATAATAAAAACAAAACTAATCTTATCAACAATTTTTTTTTGTTTATAAAAAATAATTTTTAAACGCTGCTCGATTTAAACGATCGTTTCAATAATTGAAACATTTCAAAGTATATTTACAATTCTCATTCTCTATGAGAAATTGGCAGTCGAGCATTCTACTACCGAACAATCTATGCTTTGATTTTTAAACCAAGCATGGTTTAAAAATCATGTTCCATATTTCATTTCGTCCATACAATGTGAATTCGCCAGATGCAAATCTGATGGACTATTCCATCTTGGCCATTTTAGAGAGCAAGTTGAGAACTAATAAATATGCCAGTATGGATGCGCTGAAGAAAGTAATTGTTCAGAAATAACGCAAAATCCCGGAAGATCACATTCGTGAAGCATGCAATTCATTTTTTAACGTTTTGAAGCTCATAATCAAGGCAAAAGGTGATCACATCGAGCTAGAGTGAATGGATCCAAAATTTTGATTATTTCCACAAATTTTTGTAATTTGAATCAATAAAAAAATAATTTCACACAACGAAGATATGATCGCTTGAATAAGTAACACTTCAATTATCAAACCCTGTACTAGCCAATAGACCATAACAAAATAGCTTCTCTTCATGAATATCGAAGAAAACTATGAGTATCAGATTAATATGTTCAATAATTTATACCATGTCTATGATATTATTTTTGAAAGTATTTGATCTTATTTAAAAGAAGTCCTTTGTTGATTAGTTTCATGCCCAAAATATCGCACAAAATCGAGAAGGATTCTGTTAAATTTTAAGATTAAAAAGCTATCTCACTTTAGATCAATTGACGATAGTTGAGCTTTACCAAACTTTAATCTTATAATTCTCTGAATAATCAAAGACTTCGTGGGTGGTGTAGAACGTGGCAAGTCTTAAATCCCCCTTCTGCTCAAGTCAAGAATATGTCTTGAATAAACTAGTTCACAACAGATCTATTTGAATACTCTCCTTTTCACCAAGTATTCAAGTATATTATTAAACTACCTATTCCCAAAAAATGAGTTTATGGATACATAGCTTTTTCCTAAAAATATGGCCAGAAATAAAATTTAATTTTATTATAGTAATAATTTGATAAATCAATACTATCGGTTAAATTAAAAAATGCTTAAATAAACCAAATCCACTGAAGTGCACTAAAGTATTGCATCATGTATGAAACATAGATACATTTTTAGTTATTAAATAATTTTTTGATTAGATATAATTTAATTATTATTAAGCGCCATGTACGTAAAAGAATATATGGTATTTCCTCCGGAAATCAGATTAAAATAATTTTCATTGAAAAATTTGAAAGAAATATCAGGTGTAATTTTTAAAAATAATTAATCAGTAGTTAGTTCTATTCAATTTTAAAATTTAATCCCAAGGGTTTTGTTTTGTTATATGGGCATAATTTAATTGATAATTTTAATATATTTTTCCAAGAAATATAATGTGATATAGGGAATGTAATCAGCTCTCCAGTTTGAGTGATTACAAAAGAATGTCAAGTACAGGGTGAAAAATTTATTAATTGAAAATCAAATTGATTTTTCCTTAATATACATTATAGTGAAGACTGCAAATTTTAAAAATATTTTTAACTATACATTTTTAAACACTACTTTATTTTAGTGAAAGTCTATTTTAATCGACTATATATTGGCCAGTATTATTTATGACCTTTTACCATTTTTCGGGAAGCTTCATAATTTCATCAGTGCAAATCTTTTACCATTAAGATTTTTGCAGAAACCGAAAGAAATGGTAATCAGATGGCACAAAATCCGGGCTATACAATGTGGTGGCATACAAACTTCTTAACCAAATCGGTTAATTTGCATAGTGTCCGCAAAAATGTGTATGGCCTGGTATTGTCATGATGGAATTCAACTACTTTGATTGTTCAAGTATTCAAGTACTAGTTCAAGTGTTCGAACTTTAAATAATAGAGGACAACCAAATACTCTACATAACCTTGTTTACCGTCAATCCACACTTTGACGATTTGTGATTTTACTGTCTGGATATTGGCCTTTGATGATGATGACTTGTGTTTTATATTTTCATATTTAAACCAGTTTGTTATGATACACTTTATAAATGGTTCAATTTCGTTACGTTTTAATAGCGTTCCACCGATGGTGATTCTGTTAATCGAAATTTAATTAATGTGGTAGCCAAATATCAACCGTCTTTGCTTTGTTCTTTGCCTACTCTTTTTAAATGGCTTAAAACTATCATGTGGTTAAT